ACAACATTTCTACTTTTGTTGGTCGTCATCATTTGCATAGCTCTCGGTCGTTATTTGGACGGCAGAATAGCAGTTCTTGTTCCAACCCCGAATATGCTTATAGCATCATAACATATACCGGGAATGTACTGTTTACAATGATTTTTGTTCTTTTGTATAGAGAAAGAGGTATAAGTTGTTTTCTTTCTTTCGGAAGATTGGTTTTCTTCTACAAAGAAAATGACTGGTTGAAGAGGTCTGTAACGATTGTTGTTGTAGGAATGGAAGACAATAAGTCTTTGATGATGGGTTGTGTGATTTTGGCCTTTGATGCGACAAGAGATCGAAATGAGCAGGAGTTTGAGAACGTTATCAGTAGCATTATTTCCCAAAAGGGCTTCCTTAATAGGGGAGATACCATTGTGGTGTTTGGTGTTCTGCATAAGGTCTCACATCCATGTAAGTGTTTGTTAGATTGCTTATCCCATACAATTGTAGCTTCTTACAAATGTGATGGAAAACATTAGCTGCATATTTGCAACAACAAAATTGTATGAGTTTCTATATTTTAATGAAGCTTCTTACAAATTTTAACCCTTTTAATATAAACAACCATAAAAGGTCAAACCCATAATTGTTTATTTTTTATATTAGAAAGCACCCACACACGTCCAAGCTTGTGAGATAATTAAGTTGGTATTTAAGATTTTGTTAGGACAAATAACAAAAATCCAAAATAACTACTATTCCATACTTGAATTTAGTTATACAAATTTGATCATAAATTATGTGAATATAACTAGTTCAATTAACAAAGTTCAGTTGTCAGTCAATTCTTTGATTTCTAAGATCTAACTAATTTCTCTGATCCTAGTAAAGAGAATGGCCAGGTTTATGTCCACTGAAAAAACTTACGAACATCGATTTTTGCAAACTCATGTTTTAGTCTAAAATCTAAGTTTTTGTTCATATCTCTAAATTATAAGACTTGGTTAAGTCAATATCTATCGTTGTCTGTTTACAACAAAATATGATCTTTGACGCTTAAATTTCTAACTCACCCACATAGTCCTAGAAAAGGCGAAGAAGTTGGCTTGGCCACAACAAGTATGATTACTTTGGTATGCCTGAGTGGCTTTTCCCAAACTTTATAAATGTCAACTTTCTAATTTTCTTGTTTTTCGTTTAGAAGTTGAATGCTCAACTTTCAAATGCTAAGGCATGATTTCTTATCATTGGACTGTTGCTCAAATTTCATTGTTCTACTACTCTTAAATCTGTGCAAAAAAATTCGTTTCAAATTGAAGCAACTCAATGAGATCATTAGATCTAGTGGCTACAGTTTCCACTATTTTCTAGGCATGTAAAGCACTATATGTTGTTTTCGAGTTACAATGTAGCTTTGGGACGCTAGTAAGGTTATGAATTGCTCTTATTGCAGTTGCAACTAGAGTTAGAGTTCTGTGGGTGGTGAGCTGCTAACTCATTACAGACTAATAGATACATTAATTGTATTGTCTAACTCAAGTTTCATGGCTTACTTGTATCTGAGCCATATCAGAAATTTTGTTGTATAGATGTCCTTTTTAGTTTATATATGAAAATTTGAATAAGCTCCTCCATAATCGGTGTTGTACAAAATCAAGAACCTCGATCGATCAAGAGAAGCAAAACTCAAAGTTTGCAACTTTGTGGTAGAAGGTTTCGTTTGGATAAGATTTGCATCCCCCTTTTCACCCATGTGACCAAGTCGCATATGCCACAACTAAGTCATATTTTGGGAAGTTCTTGATGGAGAAGCTACACCAGCAAAATCAATCAATTAGTACCCTCTAGGATGTACAAGGTGTTTTGTTCGACTCCTTTGAGTATCACCGATGAACCCTTGCTTATGTTCATAACTCCACCTTCACCTGAAAACTTACAACCCTTAGCTTCCAAAACTCCAAGAGATATTAAGTTTTTTGTCAAATGTGAAATATGTCTAACTTCTGTTAAGATTCTGGTTTTTCATCATCTGTTTGAATTTGGATGGTTCTGATACCCACGATTTTGCAAGCAGCATCATTGTCCATAACAATGTTACCTCCATTGAATTCCTCATAGGTGTCGAAACATTCCCTGTTAGGACACATGTGATAGGAGCAACCAGAATTTAATACCTACTTATCAGGTTGGTGAGGTATTACGTCTTCCACGAGAAGCAGATCCTCTTCAAAATCATTATCTATCCACCTTGTGCAACTGCCCTTGTGTTTTTTCTTCGGACAGTTGTTTTTCCAATAGTCGGGTTCTTCACAATAATTGCAGATGTCATTCGCTTTTGGTTCCTTGGGTTTGAATTGTTTCTTGATTTTCTTCTTCCCAGACTCGGACCCCTTTTCACTACTGACCATTAGACCAGCAGCATGATTTTCTACTGCTTCTTCGGATTCTTTATGGCGCTATTATATGGAATGTAGCGTTGACCTTACTTCTTCTAGAGACACAGCTTCTTTTCCAACAACATAAAATTGCACAAAATTTTCATATGCGATGGTAATGAAACCAACAATATAAGGGCAACATCCTCGTCATTTATTTTGACTCACATATTATGAAGGTCCAGTAATATATTATTTAGTTTGTCAAGGTGTTCTTTGAGAGGTGTACCTTCCATCATACGGATACCGAACAAACTTGCTTGAGAAGCAGGTTGTTAGTTAGAGATTTTGTCATGTATAAACTCTCCAACTTCAACCAGAGACCTGATGTCGTTTCTTTTCGTTTCTTTGTCTGCTACCTCGGTAATAACATCATCGGACAGGCATAGTAGGATCGTCGAATGTGACCTTTCTTCCAAAGATTCAAGACTATGGTCGACCTCAACGTTTGCAAGTTCCTTTTCAGATGCCTCCATTCTCTTTTGATAGTGATGCCCATAGTCCTTGTGACTTAAGAAAAATTCTCATCTTTATCTACCATAGATCAAAACTGTTTCTTCCTGTACACTTGTCGATTTTTATGCTCATTGGTGACATCGTTTCGCTTGATTACAAACACGGATGAGTAATGGACCGAACTGGATTTGGTACCAATTTGTTGTACGAAATCAAGAACCTCTATTGATCAAGAGAAGCAAAACAAAATATTAAATGTGGGATTGAAGTTAATAAAAGAGAAGAAGTTTTATTATACCGAAAGAAATAAACATATTACACTAGTTCCAGAGATGCTATGATGATGAACTAGTTCAGACTATTTTCTCCATAATTCTAGAACATCTATTAAGAGATACTTATAGATCCCTAGAATCTAATCTGATAAGGATAACTAAAAGTTTCCTAATCTAGGTATGATAAGGAAATCCCAAAAGTTACCAAAAACAAAAGAAATTCAAAGCATTATCTCAACAATAGATTTTATTTTTTGAAAACGTTCAACAAACTCACAGCGGCCCCCATATATCTAAACTCATGAACTTAAAACCTATGGGTTGTAGAGGCTTGACTAATACGACGAGAGTTTTGACGTGCATAGGAAGTGTTGTTAGTTTTCATATGCATGCATTAATTGTTGACATTTGGTGATATGTAACCAGTGATGATTTGTTCAAAGTTGGTAGTAATACTTTCTGAGTTATCATATTTCTGAGCTATGGGTGTAATTAATGATGCCAGCATTTATTATGCAACATTTTGTCCATAATTATATACACTACAATGATGGATGCATTTGTATATTTCATTTGGTAGTCACTGCACCTTAAATATAATAATATTTGTCCAGTTCTCTACTTCCCTCCATCTTAAATTAGTTTGGATGTTCTGCATTGCTGAACTACTCCTTTTTCTTGCTCAGTTGGTTACCAGATGCAGATAGAGAAAGTAAACATCAGAGCCATGGAAGAAGAAATCCAATTAAAACTTGAGATGTATGTCAAAATGCTACGGAGAAGTGCAGAAGACTGCAAAGAAGAAGGGGTAATAAATGTTTTTCATAATACCTAAAGTATCCTATATTGAGGTTTTCTCTTCAAACATTTAATGAGACAAGGGTGTTTTCTTACTATGATTTAAGACAAGAAACACCAAAACCAAAACCAAACTGACTCAGTAAATCCCACTTGAAAGTAGGGTGTGGCGGATGGTGAGATGAAAGATGTACGCATACCTGATCTCCATCTAAAAACAACTGTTGGTATATATATAAACCCCTGATTTATGCAAGAATGCGAATGAACAAGGACTAGTATATGGTGACTATAGAAAGAGAAAAAATGAGTATGAAAAAGTAATGAGTAGGTACTCTAAAAACATACAAAAAAGGTAGGTAAGGCAACGCATACAAAACAAGTTATATGTTTTATGCATTCACGATACAGTATGACCAGATAAAGATAATAAGGTGTTTTCCGGTTCGAAGTGCTACACTTTTACTATTGAACCTAGACATGATGATGAGTTTACCATTCTTAAATTAGAAACTCTACAGATCACTCTAAACTCACATCAACTTTAGTTAATTCTATTTCTAGCTATGGTTCTTCCTCCTATTTGTTTTGGTTGTGTTTTTGGTACGTGTTCATAATTAATTACGATATCTGATTTTTGGTGGTTAATTCACATGATTTCTTTTAGAGCTTAATGTGATAGATGCATGCTTTGTATGTATACATTGTCCTTTATGAGATTCCACAATGCTTTTGTTCCTTTTTTAATGTTGTACAACATCCTTTTGAAAGTCAAGGTCATTGATGGTAGATAATCTTTGTTGCTTATGTTTTCTGTGACCAACTTGACAAAAGTTGCTTCCCTTCTCCTAATGCTACTAACTCCCTTTACTCTCACGTTCGAAAGCTTTACAGGCTAATCTATTTGATGGGGTATTATTTATGAAACCACCCTACATATCCAACCACATCCCTGATCCAACTATAGGAGGCTTGCAGAAACTGCATCTAATTGTACTATAGGAGGTTGGGCATGGGTTGAGCCGTAGGGGACCAGCGTCAGCGTCGGTTTCTGTTTGCGCCATTTTCTATGCCAACTTTCGAGCTTCTTTTGAGTCCGTTTTCTTCTTTTCCTGATTATATGCTGAAAACCTCATTAACTGTTGGAACCTCGCTGTATCAGAATGTCATGCTCAGTGATTGGCAAAAAGTTGAGAAGGTAAATAAAATGGAAAATTCTAAAAACATGCCTTCAATATAAGCTAGCAAAACATTATTTTTGTGACTTTTTACTCTGGCAGGCAAACTGTAGCTGAGATATTTGTTGTTATCTAGATTAACTTTACCTATTCCATTATCATCTAATATTGCAACATAAGTTTGGTTTAGACATTTCAAGTTCATCCACATCTCCCCATTAATTAATGTATTTTCTTGAGCACCTAATTCTTTATTAGATGTGTTCATTTTATGGGTTATTTTCTTTCTCCACCTGATTTTTTTAGGTTGACATAGAAGTGAAGATTACTTGTGGAACTCCTACTAAAAAGATTATTCAACAGGAGGCTTCAGCATGTAATGCAACATGGGTCATCCTTGATAGGTAGGCTTTAATTAATTATAATTAATGAAACAAGTGAAGTTTCCAACTCTTACTGTTTAGCTCAATATATTGCAACAGATTTGTTATTGTAGTTTCTAGTACCAACTTAAAGTTATTGCCTTTATTTTACTAGTCGACGCATCTTAAAGCCACTGGCCGGCAAACTTCGAGGTTGGATTTGGCACTTTACATATAAAGTTTATTGTATGTGTCAAAAATTAATGACTCGAGGAACTATTGGATTGAGATTATGCCAAGATGGATCATATTGTTTCCTGTCAAACTTCGTCAACGCATATTATCGAAGAATTGGTAGTTATAGTCTAGAGCTCAAATAAGTGATAAGATGGAAAACTTCATTGTTAGGGTTTGGTTAATTGTATTATATGTCGCATTAACCTAACAACATATTGTTAGGTCTTTTAAAGTATTTCTAAGCATGATTTGACTTGTAGTGCAACTAAAGAAATCTTCTTTCTTTGTAATTTTCTATATATAATACAACAGGAAATCAAAATAATTTTAGAAGATACATTCCTACACTAACAATGGAAAGCTATAAATCTAGAGCTAAATAAGGAACTATTACAACAAAATAGTAGGAGAGAAACATGGAGAACATCATGGAAATTTATACTCTCCCTCAAGGTGGAACATGTAAATTTCGCATGCCCAACTTGTTGAGTAAAGACTCAAGTTGTTGAGTTCCCAATGCTTTGGTAAAGAGATCTGCTATATGCATCTTCGTATCAATGTGAAGTGGCTATATTTCTTGAGTTTTGACTCGTTCTCTAACGAAGTAACAATCCATCTCGACATGTTTGGTGTGTTCATGGAAGACTATTGTTTGCGATATGTTGAGCCTCTTAATTGTCACAAAAGAGGGGTATAGGTCCGTTTTGCTTAGCTTCAAGGTTCTTTAGGAGCCAACGCATCCATATGATTTCACTAACGGTGGTGGCCATGGCACGTTACTCGGCTTCAGCCGAGGAGCGAGAGACAACTGACTGTTTCTTTGACTTCCATGGGAACGGGGCTCCCCCCAAGATTAAGACGTATCCCGTTCGTGACCTCGTGAAAGAACATCCAAGCCAATCAGCATCGCAATATGTGACTAACTTGGTTCCCCCTACTTTGGAAAGCAAACAGTTGTCCTGGTGTTGCCTTTAGATATCTCAGAACCCTTGTAGCCGCATCCATGTGTTTTTGCTGAGAATCAGAGACGAATTGGCTTAGAACATTTATAGAGTATATGAGGTCAGGTCTTGTGGCTTGGAGATATAGCAACCTCCCCACAAGTCTTCGGTACATGTTGGCATCCACACGAAGCTCTCCATTGTCCTTTTTGAGTTTCAAGTTTTGCTCCATTGGAAAAGAGCATGGCCGACACCCTAGCATCCCACTGTCTTCTAAAATGTCTAGGGTGTATTTTCTTTGGATTAGGACTAGACTATCCATCATTCGAGCTACTTCTTTTCCAAGTAAGTAGTTCAAAGGGCCAAGGTCTTTGATGCTAAAACTCTTGTCAAGATAGGTCTTTGTTTCTTGGATTTTGTCTTGATCATTTCCTACTTCTATTACCTTTCTACGATCCAAGTTGCACGTCTTTTCCCACCTGCAGCTTGAGGGGCATAACCAATATCTCTTATAGGATAATTAGTTTCATCTTATACCATATCTCTTGTATCATAAGTAGTATTATATCCCAAGTATTATTCTATTGTAGATACTAAATATGGTAAGATTGCTAGTCCATCTGTAATGTGTATCTTAGTCAACACATTTAGGTTAATCAATCAATAAAATTCTTTGAACTTTATAATAAAGAAACTCGAAAGGATGTTAAATAACAGTGGGCAACATAAATTCATGCATGTTAACCACACTTTTTAGCTGAAGTATTTTCAACTTATGAACAACAGTCATTGTTGCTGGAAGAAATATGATAAAGTTGATGGTTGTCCATTTGAGCTGGATTAATTCTTATTACTTTTGTTTGTGAGCATCCCACATGATATTGAGGCATGCATGATTTAACATAATCTATGCCAACACGACGTAATCCCTCTAGTTACAGTCCTTTTAGATGGACACTCATTTTTCTGATTTAATGAATATTTAGATTATATTTCAATTCAATTTAATTTGTGACAGGCATTTGAAACGGGATGAGAAGTTTTACCAAGGTCAAATCCTTTGCAAGCTTGCATTAGTTGCAGATGATTGGAGCATAAGGATTTTGACCACTGAGCCCACTACTGGCACAGATAACACCGAGATTAAAGTGGTTCTTTACAGGTCAAAGCATGTTCAGTTGTCAGCTCCACCGGACACGGAAAATGTGGACCAGTCAATTATCTCTCATAGTTACTCTGCATCCTTTGGTTCATTTGAAAACCTTGAAATGCCTTCAAAGAAACATCTGACTTCATTGATGCATAAGTCGTGGGGTCAAGGTTCCATATTAACTGACGATATTCATTGTGCATCAAAGCAAGACGGATCAGGTCAGGAACTGCTATCACATTTTTGCACAAATGGTGTTTTCTGTTATATTTCACAAATAGTAGGGTACACAATATATAGAGATTATTTAGGAAGCTATTTTATGGCTAAACAAAAAAACACAGCTACCATATGATTGTGATATCCCTTGAATGAGGACATATATTCCCATGTTTAATATTTCCATACAAGGTTAATGGAAATCTCAAAAAATTGGCAGATTGAGATTAAGCCAACACTCCCCCTCAAGTTGATCTTTAGATTTAACGAAAGGGAACTGAATGATCCTCTCTACCAAGTTCTGCTTGATGAAATGTCGATCTATCTGCACACGCTTTCGGTGGTTGTCTTCAACTGGGTTTTGGGATATGGTGATAGCAGCCTTGTTGTCACAAAATAAATTCATTTCCTAGTAAAGAGGAAATTCGACCTCTGTTAGCAACTTCTTAATCCAAACAAGTTCACATAATCCTTTTGCCATGCCTCAAAACTCAGCCTCAGCACTGGACAGGGCTACCACCATTTGTTTATTGCTCCTCCACGTAACTCACGTGGGGTTTGGTTTGCAGAATGTTTTTGGATGGAATCGAATTTGTTAAAGGAATTTAACTTTAAGGAATTGGAATGGTACGTTATCAGGTTTGACCACCTGGTTTTGACAGACATTAGAATGGAATATGTTAAGGATTTGAAATCTGTCTGTTTGGTTCACAAGATAGTAGCTTTAGAATTGAAATAAAATATTAGTAAATGACCAAAATGCCTTCTTTAAAAATTTTATTTTTTGTAAAACTAAAAATATTTTAATAAAATAATTATTTAATATGTAAAATAATATAAAATACACAAATAACCAAACGACATTACTAATTCAACGGTGATGACGGTGGTCCGTAGTGGTTCAGATGGTAGTGGTCTGCGGTGATTCAGATAGAGGTGGTCAACGATAGTTCCAGATCGGTGGTGGTTGTTCAAAACGTTGGTGGTCGGCGGTGTGCGACGGTGATTCAGATCAGTGGTAGTCACCGATGGTCGGCAGTGGTTCAGATCGGTGGTGGTCAGAGGTGCTTGAGGTGGCGACAGTCGGATGTGGTTCATATCGGCGATGGATCAGATCGGTGGTTGTTCAGATCGGTGATGGTCGACGGTGGTTCATATTGGCGGTGGTCAACGGTGATTCAGATCGATAGTAGTTGGGGATGGTTCATATCGATGGTGGTCCATGGTGGTTTAGATGTCAGTGATAGGGCAGTGGTTCAGATCAACGGTCGTGGGCAGTGGTGGTCGGTAGTGATTTAGATGGTGATGCTCAGCGGTGGTGGTCGACAGTGATTCAAATGGCGATGCTCAGCGGTGGTGGTCGACAGTGATTTCGATGGCGATGGTCTCAGATGGCGGTGGTCGTAAATAGTTGTGGCCGTCGGTGATTCAGATCAACGATGGTCGAAGGTGGTCAATGATGGTCATATTGGGTTTTATGAGTTTAAAGTATATTGGGTTAAGGGCATATTTGACATTATGAAAATAGATAATTTCATTCCATCAAAATACCATGTAGTTGCTAAGAAATGTTAAAGTTATTTATTTGTGAAATTTGTAGGATTTTGAAGATTCCTTTCGTGAAAAAGAATGAATCAACCGAGGGAATGAAATTTAGTCAATGGAATTCAATATTCCAATTCAATCAGATTCCTTCAGAATATGCGAAACACATGCCCCCTAAGTTTCCTGCTGATTACTTTAGCTACCATAGAATTCAAATTACAACACCCATATGGTCTTCACTCGGGTTATGCGTTAATTGGCTCACTACACTTAGGACTTAAGTAATGCATGGATGAGTGTGAGATAAGTAACTGAGCTTCCCTACTAGTCTTTAATACCTAACTCTATCAGTTGGCACCTGGTCCAAATATTCCCCAACCTTGTGATTCTCCATGATTGGTGTCTCCATGGATGGACTCTATATAGGAATCCCACTTCCACCAATAAGTCTAATATGTATTTTTGTTGGGAGAGAAATGTGCCTTTTCTTGATCTCACTACCTCTATTCCAAAAAATACTTGAGGCCTCCCAAGTTCATCATTTCAAATTCGATAGATAATTGCTTTTGATGTCTTGAGATCTCGGCCGCATCATTAATTATCATATCGTCTACATAGACTGTCAACGTTGTCACCTTGTTTCGTTAGTGTTTTAGGAAGAGGGTGCGGCCAGAGTTAATTTGGTGATAACCACGTTCATAGCCGAACTGAGTTGGCCAAACCACGTTCGTGGTGACTATTTTAACCCATACAACGCCTTCTCCAATTTACAAAAGATTTTGCTCCTGCCTAATCCTATCTATCCTGGTAGAGAGTATCCACGTAAACTTCCTCATCAAGCTTTCCATGAAGGAAAGCATTATTCACGTCAAGTTGATGTAGTGGCCGGTCAAAATTTGCCGCAACAGATATTAAGACTCTAACGGTGTTCAATTTCGCTACCGGTGAGAAGGTTTCTGGGTAGTCTATGCCATATGTTTGGGTAAAACCCTTTACCACCAATCCATCAATTGATCCATCTATCTTATATTTTATTGAGAACACCCATTTGCATCCCACTGATTTTTTCCCCTCCCGTGATGAGTTTCAAGTGTTATTATTCTTTAACGCCTCAAGTTCTTCCTGCATTGCTTTTGCCCATCTTGGATCAGACAATTCTTCTTCAACCCTACTTGAAATATGGCAAGAGGATAGTGTTGGGGTGAAATTCTTGAGTGCTTGGATAGACCTTGGGTTTATCTGTTTGGTGGTTTTCCACAATGGTGTCTAACAGGCAAATTCAAAACCAGTAGAAGAATCCAAAATATTCGTTTATATATAACGGTGTAGTATAGTACTTACCTCAGGGACGCTCTGAGGCAGAGGCGGGTCTTTAGGTACTAAGGAGTGAGGGGACTGAAAATTTTCTGCTTCTTCGTTTTCAGGTTCTTCTACTTGTATTTCTGGTTCTTCAATGTTTGGTGGTACCTCATGCAGTCATCCTCTCTATTAGCAGTTCCATGCTCATGCAAGGGGGCCAACAACCAATTTGGCTCTTCTACTTGAGTCTCCTCCTGAAGGGAAGAATTGGGTATCGGTGGAGAGTAGAAGTATTCAGATGGTGATATAGTTTTTATTAGTGGTCGGGTCAGAACACCTGAATCCTTTCTTGTGTAAACCATATCCCAAGAATAAGCACCGGACAACACATGTGTCTAGTTTGGTATGTTGATTCTTGTGGAGGTAGACAAAAGCAAACACACCTGAAGGGATATATGAGTAGGGAGGCTTAGTAAGGGAGTTTAAAATGTAGGATTTTAGATGGGTACACAACTGTAGCCACCACATCCCCTAATGGAAACTCACTACCATTGCGCCAAGGAGTAAAGCAAAGCACGGGAAGTTGCCAACTCGTGATCAACTAAATTTGCATCTAGGAAATGTTTGTTGACTCTAGTACTTGATAGTCATTAAGTCTAAAGGTAGAACATCATGTCTGCTGCATATACAGATTTTTTGAGAGCTATTGATTTTTTGGGTGCGCATATTACCAGGATATGTAACTAGGATATACGTGCTATCACCATTCTGTTTCCTAAAGGTCATAAGTTAAGGTCTTCCTATTATTATTTACTTCCCCTTAAAGTAGTGAAGATTTCAGTCAGTTAAGCAACAAGGGATTTATTGAACCCTTTCGTTGGTCCGGGCATTCGGTTTTTTACTACCACTCGTGAAATGACACATCGAGAACATTTAAGCATTATGAGATTTTGATAGCAGGTTCTTTTTGGTTATTTCTCATGCCAATTGGTTTTTGCCTACAACCTACAGTTCCACCAAGTCACTATTGGGTTTAAGATTTCTTTTAACTTAATCTGTTGATGTAGGAAAATGCACCATTGGAAATGGACAAACTTGAAGGTTGGGTAATAAGGTCATGGTACCTACCAGTTAAGATGGGTTGAAAAGAGAATACGGTAGTATATATGCACACAATCGTCAAATGACTGCATTGTTTGGAATAGCATTCTATTGAAATTTGCTCCAACTCAATTAAGTATGGGCCATTATGAATTCATTACCCTGATGCATCCAAAATGAATAATATTATAATGATTGTAGAATCAGTAAAGAATGAAATGCAATTTATATTGTATGTTTTTATTAATTATTATACTTTAGGTGTAATGTTATATCTTCAAATGCAAGGCAGTGCATCTGAGTCTCTCATATTACTTGGATCTCTTAAGCAGGTAGCCTATCTCGAGCTGGAAATAAGCATAGCAATGCTTCACTGATCATTGGAACAAGTCCTAGGAGAAAGAGATCGTCTACTACCCCTGTTCTATGTGATGCTTGTGGGATGACGACAGAATTGTATATCAAAGAATCCATGAAATTTAGTTTCTCAGAGATACATCTTGCAACAAATTATTTTTCGGATGAGAATTTGCTAGGTGAAGGAGGTTATGGTCGAGTTTACAAGGGTCAGCTCAGTGATGGGCAGATCATTGCTGCTAAGGTGCGGAAACAAGCCAGCACACAAGGATTTGAAGAATTTCATTCCGAAATATATGTTCTGAGTTTTGCACGACACAGAAACATTGTGGTGCTGTTGGGTTATTGCTGCAAGGAAAACATTAACATATTGGTTTATGAATATATCTGCAATAGATCACTTGAGTGGCATCTCTTTGGTAAGCAACTTATTAGATTGTTTTCCTAAAACCATTCCTATATCACTGGTATTTTAGCTATTTGTTAATCAAATATATTTTACTAATAGGTTTCATTTCAGCATATCTCTTCTATTATTCTAACGCTGGCACCTTTTTCTTTGCTTCTTTTTTCTACTTTTTATTTTATTTCATGGATTAATAGATCAATCAGCAAATGGTCTTGAATGGCATCAAAGACATGCAATAGCTATAGGGACTGCCAAAGGATTGAGATTTCTTCATGAAGAGTGTCGCAGTAGTCCAATCATTCATCGGGATCTTCGACCAAGCAATATATTGCTCACACATGACTTCGTGCCTATGGTAATTTTTACCAAGCAATATATTGCTTAAACTTGTATTTTAATGGGTTTTCCTATAATTTTTGGTTTGTCGTGGAGGTGGATGAAAAAGGACTAACTTATTTATCAGATGCTTGGGTGCTTTGTTCCCATTTATGGAACATAAATGCCTTTGTTGTTCAACTAGGTTTCTTCATCTAGTACTTTAGTATGTCGATGAGGTTCTTAGGAAACTAAGCAGTCAGGCATGAGTCCTCTATTGAGGTACTCGACTGTTGTTTCCTTGTATGGCGATGAAGAAACAGAGGATGCAGTTCCTATGATATGTAGGTTGACCATGCAAAATGCATAGGTGTGTTCCAAGACAGTCGTTCGTAATGTACCAGACGTGATAGTTAATATATTAAGTAAAGACTGCTACTGACAGGGAATGACATTGGTCCGCTAAACATGGGTGTTGAGGGTCTACTTTGGGGTTTAATGATAATAAATTGTGTAGTGATAAGAGGGATTAGAGTTGTTAGTAAAGGGTCTTTGGTTTCAGTTGTCTTTAGGGTAATCTAGTGTTGATTATGGAAGGTTTCTAGCTTGCCCATCTTATTGTGACAATATCTACTTGAAAACCTTATAAATAGTCATATAGCCCCTTAACAGGGCGGTCCCCGGGGAGGTCAGCACGGGCGCACGCTCAGGACCCAAAAATATCAGGTGCCCAAATTTTTTCCTTAAAATACAATAGTAGTCTAAAAGAATTTAATAAATTAAAGAAACCCAAAAAATTGTAACATATAATAAAAGGCAAAAAGAATTTAGTAGATAATAAGCGCCAAAAAATATATTAACTAATTATATTGGAGAAGAAAAATAAAATAAAATTGGTCATTCATTATATAATATTTTATGTCTCTCTAATTATTTTTTTATCTCTAACAAGGTGCAAAAATATTGGCTATTGTCATCTCTATATGTTTGACTGTTTTTGTGGTTCAACAATTCAACGTTAATATCACGTGCTTGCTATTGCTATATATTTTTGTTGGATATTTCTATCAATTTCTGTTTTTATTGACTATTGTTATTTGGTTATGTCGTTCTAATTGTTTTTGTTGACTATTGTTATCTATTTTTGCTTTTACATAAAATATTTTACTATTGTTTGACAATCAATATATTGTTCTTATAATTTATGACGTGTTTCATGGTTTTGTGATTAATCAATAAATTTTTTATACTAGAAGTATTTAGTAATGTCTCTTATATATGTCATGTTCCATAAACTTTTAATCTTAATATCTTATTTTAGTTGAGCAAAAAAAAATAGAATTTAAATATTTTCATCAATTGTTTGACTTACGTATTTTTCATTGAATTCCACCACACCACAATATTCTATTTAAGTGCTCAAACAATCATTTGTTGAGTTTGCATATTATATGTTTAATTCATTATTTATTTTTATTGGATCTCAATAGATCATCTTCTCCTTCATATTCTTATTGATCCTCATTTGTCTACTTGTTTTAGAAAACCTTGATAATCTTCTTTATTATTGATCTCTCATTGACCCTCACGATTACTTCATTCATAAGAATTCTCTTTTTGTATCAAAATAACACATATTTCTTGTTATGAATTAAAAAAATTCTTACCTTTTATAAGAATTTATCAACCATAGTTTCTATAATCTTGATTTCAAATTACCTAATAAGAAGTACGTAAATTTAAGTACTTTCTTATATATCTATAATAAAGATAAATAAGACTTATTTTCTCAGTAAATTATTAGCATTTTTTATACTCAATTTTATACTAATGAAAAACATTTATTCGTACTTACCGATAGTCACTACAAGAAAAGTGAGCTTTGATGATACGTCTTTTAGCGAAGACATGTTTCCGCCACAAGTTATAGTGACAACATGTTGTTGTTATATATTTTTTCTAATGATAAATGGACTTTTAGCGACAACAAAAGTCGTTGCTAAAAGCCTTGTTTCTTGCGGTGAGCCTTCTTTTTACGTTTGTCCAGGGCATAAAATGTCAGGAACGGGCCTGCCCCTCAATTTCTACTTAGGCACAATGTGGTGCACCTTATATACAGATCTATCCCATGGATGTGAGCATGGGCGGACCTAATGTGGTGGCATGGGTGGCAAGTGCCACCGTATTATTTCGCGGCCGAAGGGTAAAAAAATTTAGGTTTGTTAACGGTGCTACCGTATCGTTTTAGAAGGTGCTACCGTATTTCCCTGAAATCCAAATGGTGCAACTAAAACCCAAACAAAACAAAGCCCAAATAACCAAAACCATACTTTTTGTAATTATTTTTGGGTATATATAGACCGTTTTTCAAAAGTTGAAGAAGCGTCGGGTACAAGTTTAGGAGTTTGTAAACGAACCGAACGAACAGGAACGGAGGCTTGTTCATGTTCGTTCGTTTAACTTAACTGAACAAACGAACGAACACGAACGGTAAACGAACGAAAATCTTTGTGTTCGTGTTCGTTCGTTTAGAAATAAGGTGTGTTCGTATTCGTTTATGTTCGTTCGTAAACATGCTAAACGAACGTAAACGAACAAACATAAATGAATGAGCTAAACGAACATTAATAAATATTATTTGAATTCAAAGTAAATAAATAAAAGATAATATATTAAACTTAATATATAAACGAACATAAACAAATGAATATAAACGAACGGTACATGAACGAACGTTCACGAACATAAATGAACGAACGAGACTCTTGTTCATGTTCGTTCGTTTAACTAAACGAACAAAAGAAAATAGTTCATGTTCGTTCATTTATTAACTAAAGGAACATAAACGAACTTCCTGCCGAACGGTCAGCGTTCGTTTACAGCCCTATCGGTACCATAAAAACCATATTTTTTATAATTATTTTTAGATGTATATTATACTATATTAATTATATGGTGTCACCATTTGAAAAAAATTCTGGGTCCGTCCGTGGATGTGAGGACAAGTACCTCCGGAGTGCTTGTCTACTTTAACATCCTAGGGAAGTAGATCATGAACCATTTATGTAACAGTGCACACATGTTAAAACTCATGCCTCTGTTGTAATTTAAGTGCCCTAGGTCTGAAAGCATAGTTAGAAGAACTGCATTATTTTGAATCAGTTCCTGTAATGCATCTTAAAAAGTTAGACATTAGGCATGAAACATGACTAGTTTCTTTTGTACTTTGACAAAGGGTGCAAAATGGAAGCGAAGGATTAAATGGAAATGAAGAGACATATATACAGATGGAAGAAGTATAACAATTGTTTGACATTTATATAAGATAATGACGGCAAGAGCATTTGGTGCTGCATTGTTAAGCACAAATATGTTTTTTTTTTCCTTTTTAACGTGATAGATAGTATTTCTAAAAGCTACTAGTTATCAGGCCCAAGGTACTGTGGGTGATCACACAGGACCAATTGATATCAAACCAAACCAAACAAGCCAATTATATCTGGGTGGGTCTTGGGGGATGTATGCAGGCATGACTTCTAGTCTAAAGAGTTGAGCGGTTGTTTCGATGCAGACCCGGGCTTGTGAAAAGTGTGCAAACTAAAAAAAAAGTTTATGGGAAGCAAAATATTTGATCTTGCACTAACGAGATGGAAGTAGAAAGCAAAAAAACATGCAGAATGCTGAAGTATTGACCTCCAGTTGTTGGAGGAGCTTTATGTTAGCTTCTCAATTCGTTACACAAACGTATTTCTATAAAAATGGATTCTGTAGAAGCTAGCTAGAACCAAGTAAGCAACTCCTGTGTTCATGTCCTTCCTAAGTATTTTTCAGATCTGCCTTTCTCTCTCCCACACATTTTTCACAAGCCGGGTTTGGTTACATTTTACTTTGGGCGAGATATAATTTGGTTTGTTCTTTGAGTGGTCACTTGAAACCTTAATTGACAAGTTATAGAAATTATGTCATATTTTGGTTTCTTCTAATTCAAGTTATGTTTATTCACACAGTTAGGTGACTTTGGCCTTGCAAAATGGAAGACAAATGATTCTCCTATTCAGACTAGAATACTTGGTACATTGGGGTGAGAAGCTGTCTAAAATTGCCTTGAATTCTTCATGATATTATGTTTTATGAGAGTACATACATGCTGCATAATTAATTAAACTGACTGGAAAAGAAATGGTAGAAGCTTTGTCGAACTGAAACTAAAATGTATAAAAAATGAAAAAGCAAACTGGAAAAAAATCAATATCCTTAGATAGTCTTGTCTCTTACTGTGTTAGATTAATATTAATAGTGGAGTATAATACAAAGCAGACTGTTGTAGCTACTAGTACAGTACTATTATCAAATAGGGGTTAACAAGGGAATGTAGTTACTTTAGGAGATGGAAGATGAATAATTGATGAGTTGTTTTACATTTTGCAGTTATCTTGCGCCAGAGTATGCAGAGAATGGTATGGTTTCTGTGAGAACAGATGTTTACGCATACGGCATTACTCTTATACAACTAATATCAGGACGAAAGGCTGTTAGTTCAAATAGTGAAGATCACCATCAATCCCTGAGACAATGGGTATGACATTTGGGTTTGAAACTAATTATAAGTTCTGATCACAATCAATCTTGTAATATATATATATATATACATATATTCATTTCTTGTATTAATATCTTTCTTATGATATATATATATATACATTCATTTCTTGTCTTAATATCTTTCTTGTAATACAGGCGGAACCATTAGTTGAGAGCCTTGCTTTGCATGATCTAATTGATCAACGCTTGGGTGATTCATATGACCCCTTTGAACTGTATCACATGGCCAAAACAGCGTATTTGTGTGTGAAAGTTGACCCTGAGAAACGTCCATCCATGGGAGAGGTAATTACTATTTGTTTTATGCATCAATAATCTTACTGCATACAAATTGTGTTTTAAGACATATATGCATACACTTTGGTTATTTATTTAAATTGAAGTAGACTTGATTACCCTCATCTACAACTAATTTGAGGTAAAGCTATTGATGAAACTTGATTACTTCAGGTTGTGCAGCTTCTCGAAGGGGAAACCGACCATTTCAAAAATTTGACGGACCAGTTTCTCCCACATTACAACCATTGATGCATTACACACTCCTACTCCTCATTCCTCACTTATAATCTGATTCCTTCAAGTTGAACTTGTTATAATCAAGGAGGAAGAAAGGATTGGTGCAATGGGAATCAAGCTTAGCTGATATGATATATAACATCTATTCAACAGTCTGTTCATCCATCTTTAGTTGCATCCATTTACTTATATATCTTTATACCACATTTAGGCTTCTTAATAGCAAGCTATTACATACAACCATTTCTTTTCAAATTCGTGAATGATTTTTTTTAGTGGCACCTTTTTTCTGCAATATTTAATAGCAGCTACAAATTCATAACAAAAACCAGATTATATATTCCAAAAGTTGGATGTTATGTTTCAAATTAAATCTTCTAATAGATCATTGTTATCTATGTATGTATAATGTTTTATTGATACTAGAGTAAATTACAGATTTGGTCCCTAAGGTATGTCAATACTTACGGATTTGGTCTTTTATCTTTATTTATCAGAAAAGAAACCTCCACGTATGTAGTTTTTATGAATATGGTCCCTTACACTAACGGTCATCCAACTTTTTCGTTGACTATGAGGGTGAATTGGTCATTTCAACATTCTTGATTTGTTAACTCATAACTGTTATGATTTTAATATTTCACTGCTATCTAGAATTAAAGATGTCTGATTTTGATAGTTCTGCTCCTACATCATCATTTGCTCCGTCTCAATCTACTCCTGAAACTAGGAAATGGAAAGCTACAAAAACAAGATCTCAAGTCTGGGATCAGTTTGAGAAAGTTTTAAATAGTGAGGATGTGTTGGTTACAGGAAAGTGTCAATATTTTGGGAAATGTATGTGGCCAAAGGTAAAAAAGCAAGGCGCTTCCTCAAAATGTCACATTCTTTATTACCTTAAAAAGCCACATTCTAAAGAAATCAAATAATCTATGTTGACATTCCAAGCTTCCAAGTCTGAAAATAGTGAAAATGTTTTTACTAATTGGGTATTTAATCAAGAGGCTGTTCGGAAAGCATTGGCGAAGATGCTTATAATCGATGAACTACCTTTCAAGTTTGTGGTTACAATTTTTAATTTGTTTTTAAACTTGTAGAATTCTCTCTCTCTCTCTCTCTCTCTCTCTCTCTCACATATATGATCCCGTAGTTTCAAAACCTGCACCATTGTTCACCCTCTTAGGCCATCTCCAAACCTCCAACTACTTTACGTTTTCACCCCTCCGGCCATCGTTCAAACCTGCATCACTCTGCGTTTCAGCTTCCAGCAACTTCAACATCTCGAAGTTCCTTTCATGTATCATTAATCAAGTTTCTATGTTTGGGGAATGGGGTAGCAACTTTCTTTTACGTGGTAACCGAAATAGCTTCAACGTTTATTTAGGTTTTTGTTTTATGTAAATCAAAATTCATATTCTAAAAACAATATTAAAAAGAAGCAGAGCATAAAAATTCAAAGTTCCATTCAGGTATCATTGTGCGAAAACAGAGCATTACAATAATCCCTTTTTTCTCCAATTCTCTCTTCTTCACTTGCAGGTCTATACATCTTAAACACCACCATTCAACATTTGCATTTAAGTTTGTTAGGACTGAATTTCAGTGTAAATTGTATTCGACTTGAAAGGTTACTATTGTCTATAATTGTTGTAAAAGTCATCGTGTTTGACTTTTCTAGTGTAGTTTGACTTTGACTTTGTGATTTCTAGTTTGACCCTATATAAAGGGTTTATTCTTTGTAATTTAGAGAGAGAGCTTCATTCTAATATCAATTTAGGTAATATAGAGTTTGACCAAACCTTGTAAGTTGACTTTTTCTCTCAAACTCTCCTCTCCTCTAATATTGTTCTTGAAGAAAATCATATATCTGCCATGGAATCCTTGAAGGTTTATGAAGATTGATCAACATACAGACTCACATTTGGTATCAGAGCAGGATTTGCTCGAAATCAGGAGAAGAAATCAAGATTTGAAGATTTTTTTTCTGAATATTCTTCGTATTCTTATTTTTTTCTAAGATTGATCTAAAATTTTTGGAAAATTTTGTGTTTTTCATGTTAAAACCATAATCAATCTGTGCGGAATTTCAATGTGAATCTTTGTTATTCACAAATTTGTGTGGTTTGATCATTTCTTTTTCAAGATTTAATCGTTTTTGTGTTTTAAAATTTTTTGTGTTAAAATGTGACATCCGTCATTCTTGGAGCATCAGGTTAGCATATTTGTAGGGTACCTATATTTAGAGCTATATCTATTTAGGATCTAGTCATGATTGATTAGAATTCATCTGGCTTAGCTCCCAAAAGTATAGTTCAGTAAGACTTATTTCGACGAGTAGCGGATAAAGTTAACTTACGTAATACCAAAATATATTAACAAATGCTCCAAAAATAATAAAGTTGATATTATAAAGTCCAAATTAAAATAAAAGTCCCATTTGAATGCCCAAATAATTTGACCAAAAAGGTGAAGTTTTGATTTAATAACAATAATAATATATTTTTTTAGCAAATTATATTTTGATATAAACTTTATGGGCTTTAAATTGATTAAAAGAAAAATAATTTAAATGGACTTGGGCCTTTGAGACCGGCCCATTTTCTTATCTTAATCCCTCATATAAATACCTCACTTCCTTTGAAAATTCTCATTTTCATCTTCACTTTCCATAAACCTCTCTCTCCCTACTTTCTCTCTAGAACTCACTCTCCAGCCGATTTCACCTTCTAGCGTCATTAAGAACTTAATCCGCCTTGAGGATTATTCAAGTTTTCATTCAAAAGGTAAGGGACTTTCTTCATTATTCCCGTTCTTCATCAAGATTTCCCCACTTTCTACACTTTTTCTTGATATTTTATAAAACGAACTTTCTGGAGAATCTAAGGTGGGAGATTATACATCAATGACATGAAAATGTCTTCCAAATGATGGTAATTTATGATCTGCAAACATTAGAGCTCAAAAAAAGTTGGTAAAGTTACTTGCATGTGGGTTTTCTAGCCATAAAGTTAAGTTCTGAACCTTCAAGTTCTTGATGCAAGAGTATCGTGCGAAAAGAACATCACTGGCAGAATCTTGCATGCATCTTAAATTGGTTATATTCTGTAAAAAACTCGTTAAAATAGGTGGATCTTCTTTTAGAAGCTAGCTGAATGTGTTAGCTTTAAATCAAATTTAAAAATCTTTGGAAAATGATGAACTTAGACCCCCAAATGGCCGTCACTCGAAGAGTGTGCAATCTGTTTTGGGGGCTGTGTCACTCAAAAAGGGTAGGGAAATGATGATTACCTTAAACCCATCTTTAGTTCTTGAAATCTAGGAAGAGTCTGTTTAACTCCCTATTTTGGTGGGTATAAATTTGGACATAAAAAGAGTAGAAGAAGGTTCTTTTTTTTGGCAATAATTTGTGAAGACAAAAATGTCAGATTTAGAATTTAAATGGCAGCTTTTTGCGCAAAGGTATTGATTACAAAATATACACATTTCTGGGCTATTTTAGAAAAATTAATAAAAAAAATATCAACTTTAATTCATAAACCCATTGGCATTATATAAGATATAACTTAACTTTATCTCTGTTGAGAACCCATAGGTAATCTGATTTCTGGTCATTGGACAGTTTAGGAAGGTTAGGGCAGGACGTTCAGTGCTTGAAACGTCAGCAAATCCTTGGATATTCATTGTCTAACAAGTGAGTTTTCACGGCCCCACTTTTAATGTTTTTTGATTATTTAAACTGGGGGAAAACATGAAGATATGCAAACTATACTTTGTTTATAACCATTGGACTAAAGAACTGTTTAGTCATTGCTTTGTTTATAACTATTGGACTAAAGAACTGTTTAGTCGATGCTTTGTTTAAAATCTTTGGACTAAAGAATTGTTTAGTCAAAACCGTTGGACTAAAGAACTGTTTAGTCAAAACCGTTGGACTAAAGAACTGTTTAGTCAAGTTTTGTTACTATTTGCACCATGAAATAAATGCTAAATTGATGTGCTTGGGAGTATGTTTCCAAATAAAGTCCCCATCCGTAAACGCTACTTGTTAACTCGGGCATGTCCCCGGGCCGTGGTAATTGTGGATAGCCGCTATTGTGTTGACAGTCCCACCCAGAAAGGGATGCACATTACCTATGTTTTATTGGTCTAATCATGTGGAATTTGGACCACCGTTGAATTAGTACTATTACGAACTGCGAGACCTAAGTGCGTGTACGGGCTACTTATGGTCGTTCGTAAAATAATGGGGCACATTGGTCAGGAAAGGCTCAGTAGCGTCTCAAGTTTCTAAACATCGTTATAAATTTACATTTATTATGTGCAAAAGTTGTGTATAGTTTTGCAAGTTTTGAATTATGCATTGTAATGTTTTGTACATGTGAAAACCCGTGAACTCACCAACTCTTTGTAGTTGACTCGTTTTATGCTTCATGCTTTTCAGGAAGTAAGTAAATGAAGTGTTTGGAGCATGTTGATGGCGATATCGATTAAGTCCATAATTGAAGTTTTTTGTAAAGAAATTTTCTATTCCATCTCGATTATGGATGTTAAATTGAACTTTTGTAAAATTTGAATGATGTTATTTATTACCTGTTACACCTCGTGTTTCCGCTTTAACGGGGTGTGACATAAAAACTCAGTGTTTTGATCTTTTTTTTGGTTAATATTTTGTTTTTTGTGTTTTTGGTTGCAAATCGCTCAAGGCTCAACTTTTTTAGGCCCAACACAGTTTCATCAGCCCATTTTTTTTCTTCATCTTCATTGAGCACAGTCGCTCAAGTTTGTTCATCCGATTTAGTAAATCGCTCAACTAACCTTACCAGATTCATAAATCGTTCAAGGATCTATCCGGTTTCATTCTAAATCGCTCAAAGACTCACCTGTATTCAAGCCTTCGTCACGCAACAACTCATCCAGATTACTAAATCGCTCAACCTTCATTCTAACTCTTCATCCTGTTTTGACTATATCGTTCAACATTGTATCCGATTTCACTTAAATCGTACACTTCA